TCACACAACTCTGGCTAGCTACAGACAGGTCACACAACTCTGGCTAGCAGCTAAAGACAGGTCACACAACTCTGGCTAGCAGCTACAGAAAGGTCACACAACTCTGGCTAGCAGCTACAGACAGGTAACACAACTCTGGCTAGCAGCTATAGACAGGTCACACAACTCTGGCTAGCTACAGGCAGGTCACACAACACTGGCTAGCAGCTACACACAGGTCACACTCTGGCGAGTGAGTGGTTGTCTTTGTTACCAGATATACGCTGGTTCGAGAACCAGGTAGTCGGTGGTGGAAAGGTAGGAGCCAGAATGGTAAATTTGGCAAGGTTAGACTTCTACCTCCACCCCCCCCCCTTCCAGGGCCATTTGCTAGATCCCCCCCCCCCCCCCAACGCTAAATCGTAATTTGGAACAAAGGTTAAGGCAAGATCCGGTTAGAAAGAGAAAACCCGATGAGGAAAACATGGTCGGATATTTGTGACAAGGGGAAAAAAATAGAAGCGATTAGATTATCTTTGGCAAGAAGCGTGAAGAGCTCGGGATGTTTAGTTCCAGACCTGCCCTCGACTTCCGCTCGAAGATGGTGGAACTGATTTGGGCGAGCGAGGGTTTAAACTATGGAGAATCTGTGGTCTAGATGAGTTAAAGGTTAAAAGATGAAACTGATCTGGGATATCTTGGCTTAAATAAGGAGATGTTGTGGTTTAGTTAAGTTAAACGCTAAAAGGTGGTAATGATTCTGTGGTCTAGATGGGGTTGAACATTAAAATACAATAAAATAGTTTTGAACTAACGGGTTTATGTTGTAAGTCCAAGAAGACACGAGATTGTATAGTGGAGTTTTGAAATGCCTAAAACATCTCGGAGTTATCCTGGACGAGACTAGTTCGATACACGGAGAAAAAGATGTGGTCGAACAGGGTTGAAAGTCGAACGTCGATGAAGCTTTGAAGGTCGCGGTCAATCAAAACTATGAGGTAACGGTTGTAGTCAGCCAAAGATATGAATGGTTGTGGTCAGCCCAAACTATGAATGGCTGTGGTCAGCCAAAACTATGAATGGTTGTGGTCAGCCAAAACTACGAAGAAATTGTTTTGGTCAACCAATGCTATAAAGTAACGCCTCTACTAAATGTCAACCTAACCCAAGTTGAAGTAAGTTCGACTGGTTTTTCTCAAAGAGCTGCTTTTTAGGATCGGCTATACAAGAACTTACCTGGAATACCTGGGATTATAAGAAATTCGGACAATTTAGATCTGTTAGACTACGCGTTTCAAATGTGCGACTATTGTGTCCAATACATGTTTCAACATGCGAAGATTAAACCATGTAGTGAAATAGCTACAGCTGCCTTCATTAGTTTACACATTTAGACTGGTGTAATACATCCCTAAATAAAACTTGTAATAATTTAGAATGACCGAACTCTGTAAGGACAGTTTCCCGTAGCGGCGGGGAATCTGTATTGACCAAACCTATCTAAGAAATCTTTGTCTAGACCACCTCAACTACGGTGGCGTTTCATTATTTATCCGAGCTAGGCACACGGAGGGAGATAAAGCATTGGGAGTGTGGCGTGTCGGCTTGTGAAAAAATGGATGCTGTGAATTCTTTATTCACCACATCAAAACTCACAGCAACGTGCGATACAAAAATGGTGCCGTATTTTGTTAAATTATTCAAACTGGATTATTTTATTTACCATCGGAAACTAAGGAAACTGTAAAAAAAAAGTTTAACAAGAGTTGTTTAAAATTTTTTTTTTATTGATTTCTTGAGTTTACAAATGCCGATCGATGCAGTTTGACCAGGTTCCTTGGGATTTACTTTTGCAATTAAAATATTGATCCTGACGGGCGACGGTGGACAAACTATCGCGCGCATGCTGTGTTCAAGCCTAGAGGCTAGTTGGTGTTTGGGGACTTGTTGGTACAGCGTGTGTCGCTAGATCGGTGTGTCTGTAGATACATGTACGTGTAGACACACGTCGTGTGTGTAGACACATTTGTGTGTGTGTAGACGAAAGTCGTGTGTGTAGACAAATGTGTGTGTAGACAAACGTCATGTGTAGACAAAAGTAGTGTGTGTAGACACACGTCGTGTGTATAGTTAAATGTGTGTGTAGACGAAAGTCGTGTGTTTAGACAAACGTCATAACATTGAATAAATATTGTACCTTAGACAAATGTCGTGTCATTAGTGTCATTAGACAATCATCGTGCAAGTAAACAAACATCGTGTTTGTAGACAAATGTCGTGTCTGTAGCCAAACGTCGTGCCATTAGAGAAATGTGTCGGTAGACAAATAAAGAGTGTGAAGACAGCCAAGACGCGCATCATAAAGTTTATCATTTGTAAGAGTGAGAAGATGCTACATAGAAGGTACACACGAGGTAAAAAAAAAAGGTACACACCAGGTAAACAAAATCTTCTAATAATCGATGGGATAACTGGAGTATGAACAAAAACATATACAACGTTACTAAATATAGCACACCAGGTCATGTGGCTGGAGATTCTCATCCTCGACGATTTCAAACCCTCGCATTTTAAAGTAAATCAGAGTGGCAACGCCCCGCGTCCTAACCTTTAGCATTTCGCGAAAGTATGGGGAATGGGTCATTGTTGCGAAACTTGACATTACAAAACTAAATGCTTCGAATTTCCACACGGAAGAAATAACTTCTTTAAAACAACATGATTGTCCATATTTTCACGAAATTGTCCATATTTTCACATGATTGATCATATTTTTGTTGTTGTCAGGGGATTTTGGATTTTTTTGTTGTCGTCTGCAGAATTCGGTCGTTTGGTATGGAGGCAGATGCTGCATTACGTATGTGAGAGTGGGTAGGGCGGTTAGGTTTTGCTGGTGCGTGCGTTACGTAATGGCTTGTCATACAACCTAGCCGTAGAGAAAATATTTTCCCTCCCGTAACATTCGTTTATTTACCGCCCTGCGGAAACAAAGCCGGAGACTGGGGAAATGGGGGGTCATAGGTCAACTGCAGGTGCTCAAGGCAGGTAAAAAATTTTTTTTTGTAATTGTCTCAGAACTGTCGCGTCACTCAAAATGCTCTAAATACAATTTTTGTCTATTTAAAAAAATGAAGCTGAAACGTTAAAAAAAAATAAGTTTACAAATAGTTAACTATTTAAAACTAGGGGCCAAACTCATTAGCTACACATGAGTGAGTTTTGAATGGTTGGTCAAGTTGACCTACTAGCTACACCTGAGTGAATTTTGAATGGTTGGTTAAGTTGACCTACTAGCTACACCTGAGTGAATTTTGAATGGTTGGTCAAGTTGAGCTACTAGCTACACCTGTGGTGGTCGGTTCCAATTACACCTGTAATAACACCAGTAATAAATACACCTCAATAACACCTATAATAAATACACCTGTAATAACACCTGTAATAAATACACCTGTAATAACACCTGTAATAAATACACCTGTAATAACACCTGTAATAAATACACCTGTAATAACATCTGTAATAAATACACATGTTGCTAGTCTCTCTCATACACCCCGCGTACATTATTCAACCAGCCAATTATAAAATGACTGCCTTACCCCCACCCATTCCACAACCTCCCACTCCCCCCCCCCACCACCCCGTCACATAAACTGTGTCGCCGTGTCCCGGAAGTTCCCCCACACAACATCCTGATCACGTGGCCTAATCGCATCAAATTCTTACCGCTGATTGGTCCGTCGCACCACGTGACTTATTAGTCACGTGACTCGGCCTCATCCAGCTGTAAGCATTAAAACATGGATGAAGGGAAGTGACGTAATTACGGCGCCATCTTAAGCTAGTTAAGTGCACAAATTATTGGCAGCCGCATGCTAATTAGATCGACCTCATTAACTTTATTAATGTCCGTGCGCATGACACACACGCCGAGGGCAATGACCTGTTTAATGGTCAACATTTCTGTGGTTTAAAATACCAGGGGAATTTTTTTTACTACACAACAGTGTTCAGTTATAGACAAGAAGCAGTCGTTTACATACAAGGTTTAATTGATTGATATACATACACATTAAAATAGATCTAGACCAGTGGTTCTTAACCTTTTTGGAAGAACCGAGCCACACCAGTTTCATATTCGCATTCACCGAACCCTTAGTTATATCGCCCGCACTGACAAAATCCGATCGCGAATTATATGTCGGGTGTATGTCTTGAACTCCGCCGAACCCCTGATACTGACTGTCGAGACCCAGGGGTTCGATCGAACTCAGATTAAGAACCGCTGATCTAGACATTACACATACACATCGAATACATCTAGACCTTGTGTACAGCACATCTTGACCTAATTGTGCAATCACACAACGGGAATACATCTCACATTAATTGAGCACGCGCGCATATAATAATGCAGCAATATAACAGCTATGTAGGTTACGTAAGGTACATAGCAACAATACGTCAAGCCTATTTTGGCAGACGTTCACCCCTTTCTGCAGAATTAACCCCCCCCCCCCCCCCCCTCCCCCCACACACACACACACATGCGTCATAATGGCTCAAAAACCTTCCATTAAAAAATGAAACATTTAATATATTTAACAGATAATAGTTTGCATTCGGTTGCAATAGAAATCGTCGGATATGTTACAAATTAATTTGAACTTTGCTATATTTAGACATTTCGATAATTACGAGTAATAATGTCCACCATTGTTAATGTATAATTAAAACACTTTTTACATCGGCCAATTCACAAAAAAACATTATTTCTAGCTGGGGTAAAAGGAACCATGTCACTGGGGTAATTAGCGTGTTGAAATGCATCCGATCTCGGTTTAGAAATCGACATTCTAATTCGTCTTAATGTTGCAAGAAAAAAAAATAACACCTAAATAGACGCAACACATTTTTAAAAATATGTAGATCTACCTCGTTTGTGATTGTTTTTTAAGTAAATAAATGGCAAAAAATATTTAAAAATAGATTTAAAAAAAAAAAAAGACAGTACTCACTCGATACGTACACAGCTTCCTTGACGACCAACCAACCGTAGCCGTAGACCGTTTCTCCGGCGAAGTAGGTAGCCGTGGGATTGTTGAACACGATCTGAAATTTCTCGATCTTCTCCATAGAGGCACATTTGCTCCTGAAACAGACAGACGACACAGGCTCACCGCGATGGTTCATAATCAATGGACACGCTCACAATGTTCAAAGTTACATCTCTACATAGAGGCACATTTGCTCCTGTAACAGACAGACGACACAGGCTCACAGCGATGGTTCATAATCAATGGACACGCTCACAATGTTCAAAGTTACATCTCTAGATTGCGCACCGAGGTGCGTACGCTGTACTGCATGAACAGTAGGACGTGAGATTACAAACGCTGACGGCATGAGAAGAGCATGGTAAGGGAGGGGGAAGGGGGGGGGATCTCGTTTGTCTTATCTAGTTAGCTGCATGTTACGGCATTGCTAAAGTCCTGGAGGGGGAGGGGGGGGGGGTAGGGAGGGGGTTGGGTGTATACACGGCAAACCTGGATTAAAAACATAAACAATCTCTGCTCGTATCACGTGCGGAGTTCACGGCGGCATACGGTGTCAACTCGCCGTGACCTTCACCTGTAACGTGTGGAGATTGGTGCTAGGGGGAGCCACATACTAGGCCTGGGAAACTTAGGGAGAGCAACATACTAGGTCTAACATAGGGGGAGCCACATACTAGGTCTAACATAGGGGGAGCCACATACTAGGTCTAACATAGAGTCAGTCACATACTAGGTCTAACATAGGGGCAGCAACATACTAGGTCTAACATAGGGTCAGTTACATACTAGGTCTAACATAGAGTCAGTTACATACTAGGTCTAACATAGGGGGAGCCACATACTAGGTCTGAGAAACATAGGGGAGCCACATACTAGGTCTAACATAGGGGCAGCAACATACTAGGTCTAACATAGGGGCAGCAACATACTAGGTCTAACATAGGGGCAGCAACATACTAGGTCTAACAAGGGGGGAGCCACATACTAGGTCTAACATAGGGGCAGCAACATACTAGGTCTAACAAGGGGGGAGCCACATACTAGGTCTAACATAGGGGCAGCAACATACTAGGTCTAACATAGGGGCAGCAACATACTAGGTCTAACAAGGGGGGAGCCACATACTAGGTCTAACATAGGGGCAGCAACATACTAGGTCTAACATAGGGGCAGCAACATACTAGGTCTAACAAGGGGGGAGCCACATACTAGGTCTTAGGCTGCGTTTACACTATACGTCGGCAGACCGAATTTTTTCATCTGACGTCAGGTGTTGTCCAATCTGCCGAAGAGGGGTGCGCCCCAGCGGTTACACTGTAGCCCGTCAGAACGTATGTCTGACCACCGGCAGGCATTGTTTTCAATACAAAAAATCGACGAACAAATGCAGATTCATTTTTTGGCAGAAAACAATGATGCTTCCAAGATTATATTGCTTAATGAAAAGGAAAGAGAAAATCATATAGGAAATGCATTTCTCCAAAGAAACGCTTGGCTTTGACATTGAGGCAAGTGTCTTTGTACAGTTAATTCTTATTAAATAAGATATTTTGTTACAGTAAGTTGAGTAAGGCCTATTCTAAATACCATTAATTATTACAATTGTGTGTTGTATGTAATCTATACATTTAAAACAAGTAAAATCTAAGCTATAAATTTGGTTGCAATACCTCAGTAATGGGGAGTAGATCTAATCTATAAGGTCTTGATTCTATGTTCTGGCCTGCTTTTAGTGCTAAATTAAAATAATTTCATTGACAGATAGGCCCCTCACTACAACTGGATTGGCCTACTAATATCGAATTGTCCATTCACCTATCACCACAATTATCTATGAGACATGTGATATTATGTGGAGATGCCTCACTAAAAAGCATGTACCATTACCAACAGCAGCAATGTGCCAAGGCCTTTGAAGACTGAAGACACCATCTGAACTAATCTGAAGTATTATGAAACATGTTGAATTTGATATTTAATTGAAATAAACTTCTTTTAATGTTATGTTTGTTTTATTTGTATTATTCATAGATAATAATAAAATCAATGGCCAAATCACCTGATCAATATTTCCTACTAGTTAGGCCTACTTGACATACTTTGACTTAGTCCTCCTTATAGAACATAGGGCCTCCACCATTTCCACCAGTTAGGCCTACTAGTACTAGTTAGACTTAATTTTCTAACTCAATGTCAGTTACATGTTAGATTGTTACAAACTAAGATGGTATTGGTTTTTGATCATTTAAAAAGCATAATTTATTGTTTTAATTTATTAAGCAAATCTGTAAAACATGTTTAAATAGCATGATTAACAGAAATACATCTCATAAGACACAGGCCTCATTGAATTATTATTTTAACTACTGGTATAGGCAATACTCCATTACAATTTAGGCCTGCATTTGAAGACCTCTAAAAAAATAAAAAAACAGTAAACAACATACACTTTTCAATTAATTTTTTTATTCAGGCATAACACAAAATTAATTAATCCTGGGTCAGGATCTTTAGCAATTGCTTCTTCCACAACTTGACTACAGTTTGAATCAGTGTCATCAAAAATAAAATATCTTTTAAACAATGGTTTCACTCGATACTGAATTGAAGTTGAAGGTACCTGTATGCTGCTTATCGTTTGCTTGGAAGTGAAACAATCATTCATAAAAAATAATTGATTATATGTCCATGGTTTGTTTGGAGCTATACTGCCAGTTACTCTTTTGTTGCTAATCTTGATATGCTCCTTTCTAAATGTATCAAGCAGGTTTTTCCACTTGGTTTTTGGCTTGTGCACCTGAAATGAATTAAATATAAACATCAGTTTAGACTGATTGTAACTTTCATGTGTTGGATACATATAATTTATATATAGGCCTACAGGCAATACCTAAATTAAATAGATTTCTAGATAGAAAAGGGGGGATAAAAATAGTTAGGACTTTAGTGACTTAAGTAATCAGTTCATTAATTAATTACTACTAGATCTAGTAGTCTAGTCCTAGATTCAGACTTTTCTATCATAATTATCTAATTGTCTGGGCCTAAGCCTAGATCTTGATTCCTATAGTTATATAGATCTAGTAATATATAGATCTAGTAACATTACAGTACAGGAATCTAGATCTATACTCTTAATTTAGATTAGATTTAGGCCTATTAATATAAATTTAATTAATAATCTCAAAATTGATTCAATGGAAATAGAATAAATTTAAATATAGGCCTAGGCCTATACTATTATACAATACTTTATACGTCATAATAGGCTATAGGCCTAAATATAATAATAATAATAATATAAATATAGACCTAGATAATATACATAGATCTAGATCTAGAAAGAATCATAGAATACTAGAAAAATAGATCTATGTCATAGATTCTAGATATTAGAATTTAGATAGGCCTAGCCTAGAATGAAAGATTCAATTTTAGAACCTAGAGAGTCTACTCTAGAGAATATTAAATTCAATGAGCAGATCTAGGCCCTATTATAATTATTTAATAGTAAATTAATAGGCCTAACTAATTATTACTAGATCTAGATCTAGGATCTATTTTGAGGTTACTTACTTTCTATTACTTAGTCTTAGTACTCTTAGCCCTTCTAACTTCTAACCCTAAGCCTAATGACAATCTTCTTACTTCTTAGGACGTCTTAGAATTTAGAGAATCTTGACTTAGATTAGATCGATGACGAGATCTAGATCTAGATTCTGGATTAGATCTAGTCTAGATCTGAATTCTACTTCAGTACTTTTAATCAAGATCTAGATTCTAGATCTAGACTCACTCTAGACTCTAGAAAAAAGAATTAATAGATCTAGATCTAGATCTCTAGATCTAGAATCTAGATCTAGATCTAGATTTTTCTAGAATCTAGATCTAGATCTAGAATCTAGATCTAGAAATCTCGAGTTGATTGAGAGTCGATGACCAAAAAAAAAATGTGAATGAATGATAAAAATTAATCAATGAAGTGAATAAGTGAAATAAATTACTTAACTTGTACATCCGAGTTAATCGGCTATTTCAGAACTTTAATTTTCTCTCTTGAATAAGTAAAAATCAGCTTCTCTGTGTCAAATACTACAACTTTCTGTTCGAACTGAAGTCCTCCATTTTATTTTTTGTTTATCCCTGCCAGATAAATTTTCATCAGAATGTGTTTTCCGTCAGAACAGAAACAAAATTTTAAGTTCATCATCAGGTGCCTGACGTGGTCTGACGACTCGGACGATGAGTTCGGCACTAGTGTAACCAACAGTACTGGATTATACTTTTTGTTTGCTTTCCAGTTGTTCGGCCTTGTTGTCAGAAACAGAAATTCGGTCTGCCGACGTGTAGTGTAAACGCAGCCTTACATAGGGGCAGCAACATACTAGGTCTAACATAGGGGCAGCAACATACTAGGTCTAACAAGGGGGGAGCCACATACTAGGTCTAACATAGGGGCAGCAACATACTAGGTCTGAGAAACATAGGGGAGCCACATACTAGGTCTAACACCGAGTCAGTTACATGCTACGGTCTAGCATATGGGCAGCCACATACTAGATCTGAGCAGTGTGATGATAGGTGAAACAAACATAGTGATAGGGGAGCCACATTCTAGTCTGAGAAATGTTATGGTGCCCAACTGGTACGCTAAAAATTACCAGTTACTGTGGACATTGTAAATTGTGTTTGCATTATACCAGTGTCCCGATAATGCCACAGTAATAAAATATTAAAAAACGAGATGTACGGGTACTTGAACTAAACTATACAAATAATTTATAAATATAAATTGCTAATAACAAAGCTAATCCTGTTCCTACCCAAAGTCCCACCATAATTTACTATCTAAATTACGAAGCTTAAACTTACCCTTTGTTCTAACCTTATAACTAGCCTCATAACTTGATATTATATTACTAAATAGGGTTGGTTGAGTCCATTTCGGACACGTGTAAGGAAAAACAGCTTCATAATGATGATTCAGCTAGGTAGTATACAGAGAAAGAAAGCGAGGCTAGAGTAAAATATACAGTCGCAAAGGGACAAACTCACGAGAGGAAAGATTTCGAATATAATATTTATGATTAGCTTC